AGGGCAGGAGCTCCACACAGGGGTAACCCTGAGAATTCTGGGGACACTATCACAGTGTGCACAGGGTGAGGACTCCCTACAGGAGAAGGATGAAGGATGAGAGGGCCAGTGGTCACCCAGAGCCTGTCCTCAGAGAAAGCTGTTGGCCTGAGAGGCTCACTAATGTCCTTGCCACCAGCTCTGGAGCAGCATCTGAGTTCTGTCCTGGGGACAGGTGTAGGAGCACAGAGTTCAAGGCCCTCGCTAAGGGACAGAGAGGACCTGGTTGTGAATGGTAAAGAGGAGGTTGAGCCAGGAATGGTCAGGTAACTTTTACACTTGGAAACTAAGATGGGAAGATGGTGACTATCAGGCTGGTCTGGGCTACATAGGGTTCCCTAACCAGAACCTGACTTGAAGAAGGGAAACAATGAGAAGAGCCAGCAGCTAGTGGATCCATGGCCAGATGATGGAAAGAAGCAGGCAGCTGCAAATAGCTCTCCTGAAAGCAGAGCACTTTCCAGATTGGCCTTCATGGCCCCCAGTGCCCACTGCGATGTCGCATCGCCTAGAGTATAAGCACATCAACAGAGCCATCCTCGCAGATAGTGGAGGCCAATGAGGGCGTTCAAGAGCTCAACGTGGACCAAGGAGAAGCACACAGGCCTACAGGAGGTTGGACTCAGACTGCCCCATCTAACCAAAGCAGCAAATGAGACACCCTCTCCCACGTATGAGATTAGTGTCCATGGCTATCACAATATTAACTTTAAATGTTCAGTATGCAAGCAAGCATGGAAATGCAGTCTCTACATGGAGGGGACACACAAGAAAAAACAAGAAACATTACTTATGACGACATATTAGACTAAGTAGAGAAAAATAAACAAACATGGGAGGGTAGGAAACATGGAATAGATATAAAGAACTAACAGGGCTACCGGATATCACCTCACCCGGTGGAAGAGCTTTCCTAAAGGGAGAGCAACCACTGAGAAGCAGGAGTCGGGGGCTAGGCTGCGCGTGAAATAAAACTCATTATCTGAGCTCAACAAGAGACCTGAGCTAACAGAAGGGCAGTGAAATTCAAGCCATTTCCACGGACACTGTGCTGCCTGAAGAAGGAGACTTACAGTGCCTCTGAGAAACAGACATTTGCTGTGCAGCAGCACAGGTATACAAGGCCCCCTGAAGAGAAAAAGGGACACGAAAAGGCCTCGGAGATTATGACCACAGAATCCAAACAGAACCGCCAACCCAAGAGGCCCCATGGCCTCCAAGTGCAGAACACAGATCCCGATACCTCAACAGCTATGGCTGAACGTCAGAGACAAAGACGTACTCTTGAAAGCAGCAGGAGAATAAAACGATGTCACTTACAGGGGACACCCAGTAAGATGAGTCACTCGCTGCCTTCTCACCAGACTCAGTGCAGTTCAGAAGGCAGAGGGATGGCGTTCAAAGTGCTAAAAAGAAAAACAACCATCAGCCAGGGGTCGGAGCCTAAGAAAGCTCTTACTTAAGGAGCGGAGTCCCCAGATAAACAAGAACTGGGGGAATTGTTTTCCACATGGAAATCAACTGAGATAAGAAGTCATGTGAATGCATAGGATGAACATGGAATGTGTACATAAAGGAAATTATGCAGGGTGCTCCAAAAAGATACAAATGAGTGGTTTCCATGTGTGATTCTAGCATGGGGTGGGGGTGAGGGTGGGGGCGGTGGGAGGGTGGCCTGGACTGCTTTGGGAAATCTGCTTCAAGAAAGAAAAAAACATTCCCTCAACACACAAAAAGAAAATAAAACTACAAGAATACATACACACCTTTCTTGTCTTAACTGGCTTACAAAGAGAGTGGAGAAAACCAGTATGTCATAGTTCTCCCTGGGGTGTTTTAACATGCCTTCCATAAGAGTCTCCAAACCAGCACAGTAACGGAGCAAAGTCTGAGGTGGTAACTGAAACCCACAGAGAGAAGAGAGGGTAGCCAAGACAAAAGTAAAGAAGCTTGACAGAGTAGCTAACGTCTCCTTTCTTCTTTGAAAGGAATGAAATCTAAACAGAGTAACAATCAGAAGACACATAGTTACATTTGCAACACTCATAAACAAAATGCAAACAGTCCTCTCCCCCATCTAGAGGGAGGAAGGGATTACTCAGGACTTTCCATATTTCAAAATGAAGTCTGAACAAAGTAAAAGGGTTCTGGTAAGTGAAAGTCTATATTGTAAGCCTCAGGGAAACAACAACAAAAAAGCTGTCAATGCACAGCTAAAAATCACTAAAGGAATTAAACACCACAATATTAAAAATAGTTAATTAAAAAAAATAACTGTCTTAGCGTTAAAAGAACAGGGTCACACAAGAGACGAATAGAATGAGATATAGATTAAAGCATTAATCCAACGTTAATCAGATATCGGGCAGAAATTGTTTTGACTTTTAGCATTACATCTGTCTATTTGTGTGAGTGCAACGGCGTGCACGCGAAGGTCAGAGGTCAGTATGTGAGAGCTGGTTTTTTTCCCTTCCATCACATGGGTCCCAGGATACATCTCAGGCCTCCAGGCTCAAGAGCAGCTTCACCGGCCCTGTGTTTTCTCGTTTTGTTTTGAAACAAGATCTTGCTATATGGCCCAAGACGGCCTTGAACTTGCCATCTGCCTGCTGCTCAAAGCATAGCCACAGAGGCTACGCTAATATTAGAATAAGCTTTAAGCCAGAACTGTGGGGCAGGCCAGCGACTCAGCCACTTGGGAAGCCGAGGCAAAAGGTCAGATCTGCAGAGTCAGTTCAGCCAAGGTGACTTAGTGAGCCCAGTCTGAAAAAGGGAAAAGGAGGCTGGGAGTGGGCGGGTAACTGGGTGGTGGTGCCTTATCCTGCATGAGGTCGTGGGTTCAATACTGAGCAGTGAGGGACGCAACAACAACGAAAATGTCATAGGAGACATTTTATAATGACAGAAAAGGTCAGTGGAGCACAAAGACACAACTACACACAGACCTAACAACGGTTCTAAAATCAAGAAAGCAACGGCTGTCAGATAAGAACGGGGAGAAAGATAATTAACAAATATTAGAACATTTTGATGCCAACTTTCAAAATGGGTACAGTTGGGCAGATTAAATAATGAGGAAGAGAAGGCCACAGCATTGCTGTAAACAGTGACCCAACAGGTACCCACCTCCCCTCAACATCCAACACGGACCCGGAGAGAAAGCACCACAGGAGAGGCCCAGAACCATCTCCACCTCAGAATATCTGAATGTGTTCTCGACAGCTACACAGATGGCCCTAGAAGCCGACAAGAGATGTGAGGACTCACATGTATGAAGGTTGCAACGGATGCTTAAATAGAAAATGGGTCGAAGAAAATGCGAAAACACTTTAAGACAGGAAAAAGTACAATCCAATAGACCGAAACACACGGGCGGCCAGTCCCCCATTGCTTAGTGACATCGCGGCTGTAAACTCAGGTGTTTCAAAGAACAATGGGAAAAACTAAAATCTATAACCCTCCTTGTTAAGAACGCAGAAGAAAGTGCTAACTATGGCACAAACAAACAACCAAAGTGAGGAGGGAGTTCAAGTGGAACTGAGCAAACTAGATAAAGAAAAACCAATAAAACCACAAGGTGGTTCTTTGAAAAGATCAATAAAATCAACACAGCTGTGTGTAGAGCAATGGCGACAATGGGTGGAGATGGGACTAAGACAAGCCAGTACCACGTACTCAGGGAAGTAAAAGAGACTGCAGAAGGACAAAAACAAACAAACAAACAAACGCTGTGCCCTTGCCGGGCAGAGGCAGGCGTGTCTCTGAGTTTGAGGCCAGCCTTGTCGACAGAGTGAGTTCCAGGACAGCCAGGGCTGTTACACAGAGAAAGCCTGTATCAAGAGAGAGGGAGGGAGGGAGAAAGAGAGAGAGAGAGAGATGGCATGGCCACAGCTGTTGAGACAATTTTGAAAAGAAGCCACAGTACAGATGGAACAAGGTGGAGTTACGTCCAGCCAGCCGTGCCAGGCAACTACCAAGATTTTAAGGAGCTGACCTAACCCTTCACAAACACTCAGGAACTTACTTCATTAGCCTACTGACCTATATTTAGGATATACTTAAAAGCAAAGCCATGGCAAGAAAAAAAAAAGGACTCCAGGACAAAACAGTTCATGAATATGGACATTAAAAAAAAATCTTCAATATTAACAATGGCATCCAGCAGCTGAGAGGTAACTAGACACCATAATCAATGAAATGTAGCTCAACACACAAGTCAGTAGAGTCAATCACCACAAAGTACCATAAAAACAAACAAACAAAACAACAAAAACAGAATAAAAGGCAAAACTCACACAACCATCTCCACACACAGGACCTGCCTAACCAGCGCCATCCACGACAGCAAAACAAACCCCTTTGGCCCACAACAGCAAGGGGCTCCCTTCAGCCATCAAAGGCAACTGTGAAATACAGAACGTGACCCTTAATGAAAAGACCGAAGTCCTCAACAGAACCGAGAGGGGACACAAGTCTTCTCCAGTCCCCATCCAGTGAGGGCGAAGGAAAGACTGGAAGGGAAGCAAACTGCTGTCCCTTCTGTAGGTGACCTTTTAGGTGGACAGTCTCAAGAAGTCCAGGCACTGGTCCAGAGCTCACAGGTTAGTGAGGCTGAAGCCCAATCGTTCATTCGGCAGAAGCCAGTGTTATCGCTACACGGTAGCACAAACCATTTAAGAGGGAATGGGGATAACATGTCCGTTTGTGGATCATCAGAGAGAATTAGCGCGTAACAAGTTTAAAGCTTGTCATCTTGAATTTTCTGCATCCATTCTTCCTTCCTTTGGGTCCACCCCTCCCTTGAAATCGGCAGGTTCTAAATAACCCAGGCGGAGAGAAGCAGAGCTGTGGGTTAGGTGTATCATGCCATGAACGGGCCATGCTTGGTTAAGCAGCTTGTGAGATCACAGGGTAAGTGTGGATGGAGGTGACAGGCTGCAGGGGTGAAATGGAGTACATACCCAGGTAGGGCCGCCTGGGGGGGGCTTTGAGTTCTTCATCCTTACTGTCTGTGGCTACATTTAAAGAGAGAGAGAAACAAAACAGAAAGGAGACAAAAAACAGACCGGTTTTAACACTGGTAAGTGGGTATTTCCTGGCGCTGCTGCATTTCTTTAAAAACACAAACGATGAAACAACAGAGACACCAGAGCAGAAGTTTTGCTTCTTTTGTTCAAAAAAAAAAAAAAAAAGTACTTTCTGAGCTATTCTCCAATCTCCTCAGATAGTGCACAGGAGGACAAGGGGGAAATCCCTCCCCCCATCCCCAGAAAAAAAAATCTAAGCCAGCGAGTTCTCGCTGTTTCTACAGTCAAGGGACATTGACTGCCGTGGTGTCACAGCCCCCAACTCTCACGTCCCCAGAAGCTCAGGCAGCCTGGGATTGAGAACAGTTAATCCGGGGCTGAAATGCTTTTCCAGACTGCGTGGTACAATCATTCCAGAGCGAACACAGCAATAAGCCCACGGCCAAAGGGCAGCCGGTTTCACAGTGACCGTAACAAGCATGGTGCAGAGACATCATGACAATGGCACTCCGCCTGGAACAGGCAGGACATCAGGAACGGTCAACAGTTATGCTTCGGCCTCCCTGCTGGCACTGTACCAGGTCAACAGTCCAAAGCCCGCCATGCCAGGGCACCTGGGGCAGCTGGCACTCTCACTTTCTGGGGTGCAAACTGTGCAAGCAGAAGTGAGGCCACAGGCTGTGTCCCTGGCCGCACACTGTGGAAGTGAACCCGACTCAAAGCTAACAGTAGATGACCTCTTCCCTATGAGGGACTTCCAAAGAGGAGTGGGGGACCTGTCACCAAATATGTGGCTTCAGACCACAGGCACCACACAAAGTGTAGCCTCCTGGCACCCAGCTAGGATTCAAACCAATTCTACCGGTACCTCTCTTAAAGATCAAGACCCACAAATGTAGAACAAGAGAAAGAACATGCTGGAACATTCAGGCACAGAGTGTGGGCAGAGCAAAGGCCCAGAGGTGGTGGCCCAGGACGGAGAGGTCAGGACGTGTAATGCCCCTAGGCACCTGAAGCACCTTTGGTCTCCTGTTTTCATAGCCAAACTGGCTTAGAGTTGAAAACTGCTGTTTACAGGGCAGACAGGACAAAGTCCCAAGCTGAGGGGAGGCATTGGCAGCCATCACGCCTCTCTACAGAGCTGTGCCATTCTCCACAGGCGTAGGGCATCTGGGGCCCCAGAAATGGCTGGATGCTCATCAGGAGGTATAACTCGTATTCAGCCCTTGAGAGAGTGAGTGTGTGTGTGTGTGTGTGTGTGTGTGTGTGTGTGTGTGTGTTTGCCCATCCTTTCCAATCCTCATATGCTATGTGACTTCCAAGGCCAGTTTGCAAGAAAAAACACAGCCCAGATCCTTCTTTCCCTGCTTCAGTTTTAGGGTAACCTCAAGGTGAGGCCCAGGGCTCATGCGGGAGGTCTTAAGCATGTGTTCAGCTGACATGTATGTCCCACCCCATCCCAAGACTCAGGAAAGGGAGGGGGAGGGGATACATGCTCAACACAGAAGTTCCTGCTGTGACTCAGGGCAGCAGCAGTAGCAGAGAGACTCTTGAAAAGACCCTGTAAGCCAGGTAGTGGTGGCCCATGCCTTTAGTCCCAGCACTAGGGAGGCAGAGCTCTGTGAGTTCGGGCTCAGCCTGGTCTACAAGAGCTAGTTCCAGGACAGCTTCCAAAGCCACAGAGAAACCCTGTATTGAAAAAAAAAAAAAAGAAAGATGACCCTCTCGTGCAACACTCCATAAAATATACCTAGTAAGGTTGACAGTCCAATGGCTCTTGTGCACCCACAGAGGGGCAATCACCATGACCACCAACTTAGAACATTTCCATCACAAGGAAAGGAAGCTTTTCCCATAGATTCTACCCAGCCACCCTAGAAAATCCCAACCTGGTGTTCTGAGCACAGGGAGTTGACACAGATAAATTCAACGGACAGAAATTTAAAATGAAAAACACACCATTAAAACAACAAAAACAGAAGTTAGAAACAAAGCACTCAGATGGACACACATATCCAGCTGGTGGAGCATGTGGTTAAAGGCACCGCTCACGGTGCCTCTGAGGCTCATCTCCACCAGAACGCGGCCTAAGATCACTTAACCTTAGTGTATCACCCCCAACCCACCCACTGTCCCAGCAACCACAGTGCTGGCATCATTATACTTGCTTATGAAAGCAATAGGGCTATGGCCCACATCCCATAATGCTTTGGGTTCCTAAGAAACACGGCTGGGCCACAGGCGGTGGAAGAGCACAGCAGCCATGTCTGAAGCGGAGCGGGTCTTGCCGCGAGGGCTCAGCAGTCAGAATCTGTGCAGTAATGGGGAGCTCCTTCCCCAAAAGACACCGCCCACCTCGACCCACTGGAAAAGCCACATGACAACTGTGGCCCTGTGCCAGCGTGATCCACCGTAGCCCAGAGCAGAGATGATGCAGAGAGGGAGCAGGGGTTCAGAGACCTAGGGCTTCCACCAAGCACCCAGCTGGTGGCAAGTGTAACAGAAGCAGCCAGGTAGAAGACACCGGGCCACCACCCAGGTTTGGATTCATACTTCAGCGTGATGTACAGGCACCATGACAGCTTTTAGGAAGTCGGTACCAAAAACTGAAGGAGACCTCTACTTCCTCCACAAATCAACTCTGGCAGCTCAGTGAGTAGACAGGGAGCCTCTCTCTGCCCACGGGTGCTCTAGCCCACAAAGGATCAAAGGATCCCTCCCCTTGGATCCCAACAATCCTGACAAGGGTGTGTCCTTAAAAACCCACAAAGACATCCTGGGGCCAAGCAACCTCTGGATCCAGCAAAGCAGACACGAAGCCCGGTAGATCTGAACTGGACCCTAAAAATGCTAAAGATGTAAATATCAATAATTCTCTGGCCAGGTATGGAGGCACACACCTTTAGCTCCAGCACTCAGGAGACAGAGGCAGGGGGATTTCTGTGACTTTGAGGACAGCCTGGTCTATATGGTGAGTTCTAGGACAACCAAGACCCTATCTCAAAAAACAGAAATAATAATAGCAAAACTAATTCTCCATGGGCGGTGGTGGCACACATCTTTAATCCCATCACTCAGGAGGCAGAGACAGTTGGAACTTTGTGAGTTCAAGGCTAGCCTGGTCTACAGAGTGTTCTAGGACAGGTTCCAAAGCTACTCAGGTTCATGAGGTGGGTCCTGCTCTGGTCCTTGAAACTAGAAGCCACAAAGGAGACCCAGAATAATCTTCTTCCTCATGGTCGCCCATGTTAATCACATCTGCAGAGGCCCTTCCTAAATTAGGGGACATCCCTGGGGCCAATATTATGCCCATCATGGGCCCCTGATAAAAATTCATATCCCAGTCCTAACCCTAATAACTGTGGTTCACTATTTTAACTCAAATAGTGGTGACCAAGTTACCAAATACTGCCTTAGAAATGTTACATAGAACACATAAGAGAACAATTGGGACTCCACTGCCCACCAACTTTCTGGTCTAGACTGTCCTGTGGTATGACACGCCCAACCCCGGTTTGCCCTTAAAGCTCCCTGCACTCACCGTCAGTCGCCTGAGGTGAAGGGACAAGTACAATGCTGTTCTGAGTAAATAAACGCCACGCTCTAAGTCGGCTGCAAGGCCTAAGGTGCAAACCTTCCATAGCTATCATCTGGCATGAGTCATGATCAGAGCCAACACACATGGCAAGCCAAGCCACAAACCTGTCCTTGTATTTGCAGGGCAAACATGGCAAGCCTCTGGTGCCCTCTCTTCAGGCTTCTTTCAGCTTTCCCACGTGCAAGCGTGGCAAGGGACCCACCATCCTGCAGCCATGACATGTTTCCAGTGCGTGCTGAGGCTCAGAGGGCTTCAGACTCTGCTACATGGAAAGTTGGGGCACAGAGAAGCAGGGCAGGCAGGTCACGCCTCTAAGAAGCAAGCCCATGCATGGCACCGTGTAGAGCCATGAGCCTCAGCCCCTAGGTGGCACACCAGGAGGGTGGGGGATAGGTACCCAGGGGAGATCAAGGGTGACATCAGAAGAATTGATGAGAACCTGTCCAGAAGATGGACATGAGCTATCATCCTTGTAGGCTTCTACCCCAAAATCACATTTGCCCAATTTCTATGACGACAATGATGGCATCACCCATTTTTACTAAAACCAGGCGGAAACAGAAGGATCCTGATAATGGGGAAAAATAATGATCAGAAATAAAAATATAGAGACACCACTTCTACGGCCGCCTCCAAACTAAACACTGAGCCAAATACTTCCAAAAGCAAGATTAACACACTCTCTCGAATTCTGAGAGCGAGCTGTGCTAGTTCACTAGTGGAAAGATAAAGGGAGGCTTCTGCTGGGCGTGGTGGTTGTGTGCCTACATTCTTAGCACTGCGGAGGCTGAGGATGGCGAGTTTAGGGCCAGCCCGAGTTACAGAAAGAGGACTAGTCTCAAAGAAAGGAGAAGGAGAAGGAGAAGGGAGGGGAGGGGAATTAGAATTAGGAGGAGGAGAGGCAGAACTTAATTCTCCTGCAGTCATGGTGCCCACCAGTCTACAGTGACTACAGAGTGTGAAGGAAAGGCCAAATACAGAGAGTACTTTGTGTTTTCTGAGCTGCCCCCAAGGTCAAGGAGTGTCTTGTGCTTAGCAGGTGATGGGTCTTGCCCATTCTCGGACGAACACACAAACCTTGGGTGTGTTGTACCTTGGGTGGTTGACTGTGCTGTGTGGGACATGGCTACTGGGCATACCAATGGGGCTTGATTCACCTGGAAGCCACACACAGACATGACTCCAGAACTTCAGTTTTTCTGTGATAACAGGCAGTCAGTATGTAAACAAAAGAGCCAGGAAGAGGAGTTAAAACCTCACCCAGATTCCAAGTGAGAAAGAAGAAATTCTTTTTGTTGTTGTTGTTGTTTCTCTGAGACTTTGGAGCCTGTCCTGGAACTCGCTCTGTAGACCAGGCTAGACTCAAACTCACAGAGATCCGCCTCCCAAGTGCTGGGATTAAAGGCGTGTGCCACCAATGCCGGGCTCTAGGAAAGAAATTCTTATCTAATTGTTTCAAACTGTGAAATGTTCAGTCTTCTACAATACAGAAAACACTACTATCGATTACAGATAATCACCATTTAGTGACATGAAAACTGCCTCGATAATGCCCAAGTGGACTTTTGGCTCCCCGAGAGCTGAGTTTTGTCTGTTGACTAAGTGAGACTTTCCAGGAGACATCACACACCCACCTGAGAAGGAGCGGCGCTTAATGTTCAGCTCATTGGCCACTCGGACCTCAGTGCAGAGCTTCAGCATCAGAAGCATGGTCAGGATCATCACTATGCTTTGCCATAGGAGCGGGGACTCGAAGTGCCTTCCGAACCTGGGGGAGCGAAGCAGAGAACCCACATCAGCATCAGGACGCAAGCAGACAGCAGCCCCGGCTGGCACTTCCTCAGCCCTCCCTCAACCAGAGCCTGAGCTGCAAGCTGGGAAGGAGTCAGGGAGGGGCTCATGCTCATCACAGCCCTGGCACTTGCTGCCTCCTCTTTCAGGGTCCCCGTGGAACTGGGCTAGGGTGGGGAAGGGGCAAGGAACGCAGGTCAGACTCAGCAGGGAACCTGGAACTCCATGCCCCAATGAGGCTATCCCAAAGCCACATCTCCCCTCCACAGACTCTGTGACCCAGTCACAGACACCTACCCAGGGCCACATACTGTTATGAGAGGTCCCTATATACCTACCTTCCTGTCAAAATCTAATCTTAACCAAGCCAGACTATTTCCAGATCACAGTAGCTCTGCTTCCCGCCTGGAGAGAAAATGTCTGTGAAGACTTGTAGCCTGGTGCCAAATTTCCATATGCCCCCTCCACTAAGAAGAGAAGGCAGACAAGGCTATGCCACCAAAGATCCTTCCCCCTGACCTCCTAGCTCAGGGCCACCTTCCCTCCCTAGTTACCCCTCCCCCAGCCACTCTAGTGGCTTCCACTAGTGTTGAATAGTTTAGCAACTGGGCCATTCGCTTTGAGGGGCAGAAGTGCAGTTCAGCTACCAACAAGGTCTGTGGGTCACACCCTTGGCAAACAGAATTCCATCAGGCTGCCATTGAGAGACAAGCCCACACAGCTCCCCTCCAAAGGCACGTCCCAGCCCAGCCCTCACCCCACCGCTGTAAAGCACAAAAACGCAGGCTAGCATTGGCCTCGGCGTTTGTTTGGCTTGAAAGTAATTTCCCAGACCTTAATTGATGGTTAGCACATGAAATTCAAGAGATTCTGCAGCAGCCCAACTCTTATCTCCTCCTGAAAACTCTGAGACCTAGCAACAGTGCCCCTCTCTCTTCTCCTAGGCCCCTCATTACACTGGTTCGTCTCCTGCGACAGGCGTGACTCCAGGCCTGAGGAAGGCAGCCAGTAATACTTGCTAATGAGCTCCACAGGTGACACTGGTGGAAACGGTCTCACTGACTCAGCCAGCACCAAGCCTGCATAGGTACACAGTCTATCACGTCATCCAGGTGGCTACTACTATGCCAGGAACTCGCTAAAAATCAATCCACAAATGAAAACCAAAGCATATCTCATATGCTAGGTGTATGGGACACTCCTACAGACCCATACTTGAGAGACTGAAGGTGTGGCTAGCTTGGACTACATAGCAAGTTCCACACCAGGTCTGACAGTAGAAAATAAAATCGCATTTCACAAAACTCTGCATTCAGTGGCTGCAATTTGTAAAACACAGCTGGAAACGGAGACCTTTCCTGTAGCTCAAAGACTGCTCATTTCACAAGGAAAGGCTGTACAACCATGCACAACAATCAAACCCTTTAATTGACCCAAAGGCGACCTTCAGTTCCTGGAAGTTGTGTCTACAGACAATTCCCGGTCAGAGAGGGTTCTAACCAGCTTGAGGGCCTTCAGAGAGCTCTCAACATTCCCGAAGTAGCTTCCCATGGGATGTGTATGGCCCACGTAAGCAGAGCCAACAGGAAGGTGTTACACAAGGGAGGGTATGCTGTAGAGAGGCTCCATCAGCAATGGGGCACATCTCAGTTTCCTGTGGGGTGGCCAGGACAAGTCCACTGTGGTTTTGAGGCTCAAATGTCCCCTGGGAGTTCAGAAGGTCCACAGACTGCCTGGAGCAGCCGCCTGAGGTCAAGAGAACTAGGGGACTGATGAGAAGAGAAAGAAAAGGGACGGACAGCCTAGGCACAGAGTGGATACGGGCAGACGAGCTCCATTCTTAGGATGCGCCCCAGGGTCCTGTGGCTACTGCCCCCAGAGATGCGCATCTGTGTATCTTAACTTGAAGAGTGTAATTCATAGCCTTAGAGTTATTGGGAGGCAGATCAAGCCCTTACTCGCTTCTAAGAACTGTTCTTCCTCACTGACTATCCAGCTGGCAACTTTCTCACAAAGATGGTTACGTGGGAAGGTTACACAGGAAGGTGCCACTTTAGGGCCACGTGAGGCCGAAGGCACAGTTTCCCAAACAAATTGACAGTTGCTACTGGAAAGACTCCAGAGAAAAAAGTCAAGGTCTTTTTAAGTTTCCATGTGACAAATCAAAGTCAATCCTAATAAGCTCGATGGTCACAGGAAAGGAAGAGACCACTTAACAGAGTGCCAGCAAGCAGAGTGGAGAATCTGGCTAGTTGTCTTTATGGGAAGGCAGCAGAAACAGGACACACACAAACTTTCAAAAAGCATAACTCCAAAGGCATAAGCAACAAAATAAATAGGAAAGAGCATTTAACAACCATCAAGTTTTACAGATATAGGACGGTGTCATTTCTCACCAAAATAATGTCAATCACCTCCTACTGGGTATATCTCCGAGTTATCCTCTCCTGCTTAAGACTGTGGGTTAGCAGAGTTCATCTGGGGGCAAGCGGCGATTGCCATCACACGGCACTGGATGGTGAGTTCAAGAACTCTCACAGGAATGAAAGCTGGTACTCCACGCTGGGGAGGCGTGCTAGGGTGGGGTCCACACGGCTGACCAAGTCCAGCAAGCGGTTCTATGGACAACTTCTCCAAGCCCCAAAGTGACAGAGAAACTCTGGAGGAGGTTAGATATCTCTATAGCTACTCCCTACATATCAAAGGAAACTTATCACTGTAGTAGCAGAATGTTACCGCCTCTCCGATACAGTGTTTCACGCTCACAGCCAAGACCTGATGCCAGCAGGGTTGGAGACAGAGCCCCGCCCAGCATCCTCGGATCTACCAGGACTGGGTGGAGAACTCTGCTCAAGTAGAACCTGGGCACCAGTCTTACCCTTCCCCACTTCTGTTACCTGTCTTGGCCTCCAAACATTAGATAAAAGGATCACTTGGCCCCAGCCTCTAACATCCAAAATGCAAAATCCCGTAACCCACATTTCATTGAGAACAGTCTGCTGAGGATTCTAGATGAGGATTCTAAGAAATAACGGCTTGAGAGATCCCCGAGTTCCAGAATCCCTAGCTTTGCACATTTGAATCAGTCTCTTCCTGAGGGACTGTCCAACCTAAACAAACAAAAGTGCTGTGCCCCAAACCTCCGGTGAGTTCTGAGGTCTGTGTCCCAGTTAAGGTTGGAAGATGGCTGAAGGTGCTAACTCATGGCCTGGAGGGCTCCCATCTCATCGGAGTCTGCCACACTCAGGACCTGCTCTCCACCTGGGGAAGGGGGGCATGTTGCAGTGGCTGCTCCCACTGAAGCACAGATACTGTGCTCTGTGACATCTGAGAGGATGCTGAACTGAGAAACCTTGAGACAGGCACCTAGACTGGAGCTACGGAAGGGTCTGTGAAGAAGCCCCGAAGAAACCCCGCCTTGGAACAGCAGTGTCTACAGACGGGCAGCAGGGTCCCAGACAATGTCCGGACTTCTTTCTGACTTTCACAAGTGAGAATCCGGAAAGATACTTCCCAGATGGGAACAGGGCCAGGACCCTCAGCCCCTCCCTGGGAAACTGAAGCCCTGGGTGGCCCAGGTGGATGTGGATTTTACTAAAGAGACCACTTGTGACCAACACTTGGCCTCCACAGAAGGCAACCAGGCCCCCACAATGAGAAGTATTCCAGGTCTTTGCCGGGGCCCAGCACAAAGGCAAAGGGACCAGTCCCAGTGTCCCTCTCTACTAGGGCACACAAGGAAAATGGCCTCACTTCGGATTGCTCCAAACCAAGTCAGAAGTCAAAACTCAAGCAGTACTTGGAGAGAATTTATTCCTCTAGTCCAAACGTGAATATCCTGTCCCTACATAAGCTAAACAGTGAGGCTGGGCTACACTGGGCAGCCGGCCTGACATCAAGACTCCGTCCTGTGCACACAGAACACCCAACAGTACGAACATGGTTATACTGAAGGATCTGCTTCCATTCAACCTTAGACTGAATTCAGCCGCTTTACTCCACTGGCCACAGAACTGGGGACGACTTCCACCTTTCTCCCAGGGGGAAGCAAGAGGAAGGAGGCTTCGAAATGCAATTCCCCGGCTTTTTAAAAACCTGTCCCTCAGAAGTCACCTGGGTCAAATACAAACAGCAAGCTGACATCCTCCAAGGCTGCCAAAATGACCAACTTCGGCCACTCCAGAGTCGGCTCCCTAGCTGACCTCCTCATAGACCCAGGCAAGAACCCCCTCCTGGGGCACAGGGTGCCCAATGCTGGGACAGAGTGCAGGAGTGTGCAGAGTAAACGCTCTACTCAGAAACTCAGGGTGGACACCTTTGACAGAGCTCACTAAACTGTACAAAGTGGGTGTGTTTTTGTTTATTGTAGATTTACTGCATTTGCTTCTGCATGTGTGGAGGTCAGAGAACAACCAGGAGATGATTGCTTCCACCACGCCAAAGACACTCAACTCAGGGCTGGCTAGCAAGCTCCTCATTTACTCAGGACCATCTTGCTGACCTAGTATGACTGACTTCAATGGATTGTAATAGGAGTTGTTATAACTCAGGCCATTTCGAACAGTAAACAAAACAGTCAACCTAAAAGAACTCTGCCACCAACTCCTCTTTGAACCCCTCCTCCCTGGACCCCTCCTTCCTAGATCCCTCCTCCCTGGGTCTCTCCTCCCTGAACCCCTCCTCCCTAGATCCCCTCCCTGGATCCCTCCTCCCTAGATTCCTTTTTCCTCAATCCCTCCTCCCTGGATCCCTTCTCTGGGTTCCTCCTCCCTAGCTTCTGCAGGCCCTTCATGAGGGCTACAAAGCCTCCCTATGTGCACAGAGGACTTGGAATTGGCCAGAAGAAAAACTACAAACATTTAGCATGTAGAGAGAACAGGATTTCTCTGTGTAGCTCTGTAGACCAGACTGGCCTCGAACTCATAGAATCCACCTGCCTCTGCCTCCCAAGTGTTGGAAGTAAAGGCGTGTGCCACAACCACTGACCATTGAGGACACCTTTTTTCTTTTTTCTTTTTAATATATCTTCTGAAAATACATCCTCTCAAGTATGTAAGAGATAGCTGTGTTGGCACACACCCTTCAATCTCAGCACTCAGGAGGCAGAGGCGGGAGGATCTCTGAGTTTGAAGGCAACTAAGTCTACAAAGTGAACTCCATGAGAGCCAGGCTGCATAGTGAAACTCTGTCTCAAAACAACAAAACCTCCAAGTATGTACGGTTTCAATGATTGTTAAACTTATTTCAACTTCCTCAGCAGAACGAAAATGAAAATGAGAGGAAGTTGGCCCAAGAAGGGCTAAAAACAGACTCCTGCGAGTATTATGGGGAAAGTCTGACTTCCTCCCTTGAAGATATGAGCCACATAGGAAGTCAGGGAGAAGCTGGGGCGGTGACACATGCCTTTGATGCCAGCACTAGGGAGGCAAAGGCAGTTGGATCTCTGAGTTTGAGGTCGGCCTGGTCTCAGAGCCAGTTCCAGGGCAGCCAGGAAACCCTGTCTCTGGGGAAAAAAAAACAGCAACAAAAACAAAGTCAGGGAGAAAGGATAGCAAAGGCAAGTTCTGAGATGCTCTCTGTTACTAACTCACTTGCTTTCTACCCTGGCGCCCACTCCACACACTGGAAAGAAAGGCAGGGATCCAGGAACTATGCCCAGAGAAAGGCTCCACACAAAGCTAAGCACGCATTAAGTGAAAGAGCTGATCTGGAGATTACATTTGACTCTGCTCCAGCCCTGCCAATCTTCCTGGAAATGGCACGTCCTAGTAAACTCAGTAATGGCTCAGGCTACTCAATCACCATGTTATAAGCACCAGTTCTTCCAGAGGTCCTTGGGGGAAGAAGACAGCTCCACTCGCTGCCACTGGAAGCCTCAAGAACAAAGGCAACCCCCCTCCCCCAGCAGCGTTCCCAGGTAGGAAAGTCCTGAACTTACCAAAAGAGTATCCGTAAAATATTGGCCACCAGTAACACCAGGCACACGTGGGTGGAGAAACCATCAGCGTTCTGAGTCCTCCGGATGTCCCTGTACTGGGGGATGTATGGCACCACCCCTCCGAAGACCATAGCCCCGGCGGCCACCCAGGAAACCAGCTGGTGCAGCGGGACCAGAAGCCAACCCAAGCCTTCCGCTTCCATCGCCAGCACCGAGGTCGCTATGCCAGCCAGCCACGTCCACCTGATCCAGGCTCCTTTGCCAGTCCACAGGCTGACTGTCACCTCCACATGGCCGCCGCTATCCTGCGCAGTCAGCCACCATCCCGACCTGGAAGGGGGAACAAGGGTAACGCACTGACAGGAGCTGGACCAAGACGCACCTGTTCGGGACCTGGAGTCTGCGCAGGGCCTGGGACCCTTGCGCCCCACACGCACAGCCTCGGAAGCCCAGGCTCCCAGGGGCGCGCCGCGGGGGCTCCCGGCACAGTCGGGACCGTCCTGCGCCCTGGAAGGCTGGGGAGATGCGAGCGAGCCTGATCCGCTGCCCGAGACTGAGGGACGCACGCGCCGGGTTAGGGGAAGGAAGGGGTGCACCTCCCCAGAGCGAAAGCCGCGGGGGTGACACCGCCCCAAAACGCGTTCAGCGAGTGGGGGAGGGGTGGGCGCGTGCCCCAGCGGGAACCACAGCAACCTGGAGCCCGAGTCTTCAGGCTCCCCAGGGATGCTCCGCCCGACAGCGAAGAGCAACCAAAGGGAAGCAAATCCAAGACCCTTACCAGCCACGCCGCGCCAGTCGGTCCTTCTGTCCCTCAGTCCCAGCCAGCGAAAGCCCCGCCCCGTGACGTCACAATGGCCGCCACGCCCACTCCAGGATCCCGCGGCTATCCCACTGGGTCCTAAAGCGCGCACTGCGGGGTGGGACCGAAGTGACAGCGGGCACTCAGCTCTGTTCTGCTGTGTGTCCCAGATTAGGAAAAATCCACAGGGAGGTCCTTGCGGGCCACGAGACTACGTGTACCTGTCTCCAGCTAACGCCGCGCTCAGGGCACAAAGTGGGTGTAATGCCGAGCCACTGACAGCTGAGGATGAGGTACTGAGTGTTGAGGAAAGAACTGTTACGGCGGCCAGTCCTAGGTCGAGGGCGCCATCCTCTCCTGGATTCCAGGGGTCTTTGAAAGCCTCTGAGCATGCCTATCAGGGGCTGGCAACCCTTACCCAGGATCGGCCCTGGGAACTAGCTACTCACTGACAACCCCAGGCGACTACAGGCCTGGCGTCAGTACGCTGCAGTCGCTGAGCCTCCTCCTCCGTGTGTGAGGTCGGTCGTGCTCCAGGTGTTCATTTACAGGAAAAGAGCATAGGAATTCCCAAATACGTCTCTGACATCAGACGAACCCTGGTAAGCTGGGCGAGTTGAACCAGAAGAACCCGTCGCCCTGCCTGTCAGTAGGAACCTATGCAACGAGGCACCGGATGAGGTGATAGCAAACAATAGAAAACTTACATCCACGTCTGCCTGGCATCCTCCTCCTGCACAGGAGGGACGACATGAGCAGGGAAGTCCCCGCCCCGCCCCAGGACACAACTGACCCCCAGCCATCTCACCAGGCATAGCCCTTTCTTTCACCAGGTCTGGCCGGTTCCCAGCCGGTTGGTTTTGTGGGAAACCATTGTAAGACTCACCTAAGATCAATTCCAAAGAAGCCAAGAAAACACGGGAAGCGCTTTCCCCCCACAGCCTCCCTCCCCCACAGCCACTTCCTGAATCAACATCCTTAAAGCTCAGCACCAGGAAAGAACAGGAGGGAGATGAATAAACAGAGGGTGGCAGCGCTGGATGTCGGGGAAGCTGGCTTTCCCATTGAGCGTGTGCCCAACCCCAAGGCTCCCAAAGGCTCTGGGATTCTGTTCTCACTCCTGACTCTTATAAGAGGTCACCTTGCTTGCCCTGAATACTCCAGGGCCTGTGGACACACAAATAGGGGCTTTACTGCTCAACGTGTGCCAGGGGCGCCTCCGGGAGCCCAGATAAGTGAGTACAATCTTGCATTCCGGTCCAGTACTGCACACCATGGGCTCACTCTGGCGAGGCAAACTCCATCTGTAGATCTAGCTGGAGGCTACCTGTAACTCAACACTGCATTTTATAAAGCATACGTTACAAGGATATGTCAACTGCTTTAGAATAAATGAAAAGAAACAAAAATACACTTAAGTCTGCACACTCAAATAGTTGCCCCCAAAAGAGTTCTTTTACAAGAATTTTAGTGATCATTTTCAATAATACAGGAAAATAAAGTAGCAGAAGAGGGCAGAGTGGGGAGGGAAATAGGGAGGGATAATGAGCACTATAGGCCTTTTGAAAAGCCATATGGGAACCTGCATAGAAGCTTCCTAAAATACACACGTCTATAAAAGCTTAGAGTTGCCCTATAATGAGGCTTCAATATCCCAGTTAGACATTATACACTACCAAATAAAACTCAACTACCAGGATTTACTTTCCTGATTTGTTGGTCAATGTGGTCCCATGGATGCCCCCCCCCCTCTACATACATTACAGGCCATTGCCAATACTATTGGTTACGTCCCAGAACTTGATAGCAAGATACCACAATCATGTCACAGAACATGATATCTAGCCGGTGGAAGCTTCGTCCCTACTGGCTAGTACTCACAGTGCTACGAAACCCTGCAAAGCCAGACAGACATGCACAGAGATGCATTAGAGACACGAATGTTAGCATACTCAAAACTCAGCATTTGAAGCAGGGGATTGACCTTCAGTACAGGACACACTCAGACACCAAATTCTCAGCACAAAGGAGGGCTGGGTGGGTGGGTGGGTAGCGGAGTTGTGAAGACAGCAGCAGCAGCAGCAGCCAGCACAAGCAACAACCAAGGAAAGCAAGACAGCAAGAGGAGCAAGAGAGTGGGTCTTTAAGAGAAAGGGGAAGTCTGTGCTGAGGCGAGATGGTAAACCCTGATTGGGATCATTAGCCAAATAGTGAATTTTGATTGTTGGACCTTGGAGTTCTGTCTCAGGAATAAGTCCACGGCCAGATAAGGGGATAGACCCCGGGACTGGCTTTAGGCATGTTAATGTTTGTAGCAAGGGAAAAGAAAGGGGTAAAAGGGAAAAACCTGTCTGCAATGTTTACCAGCTAGGGCCTGTGAGAGCCCTGGCCTTAGGGAAGACCGCAGAGCACTTACTTCCCTTTGGAGGAGTTCTTTCAAGAGCAAGCCCCGATTTGAGTTCTCTACCTCTCTCCCCAAGCCTTCCATGCCTCCTGTCTCAGTCATATGAATCCGAATCTGTGCCCTCATGAATGCTGTCTTGTGAATCTCTCTATGTCTCTGTCTGTGTCTGTGGAACAAGGTGCTTTTGCTCTCAAATTATTACTTCTGCACAGAAAGAATTACATGGGAAAGGGAAGAGAGGTACTTTACAGAAACATTTTTTTTTTGTTTTATTTAGTTTTGTTTTATGTGCGTGGCTACATATTTTTAAAAAAAAAATGCCTGTGTACATGTCTATGAATATGTGTGTGCAGTACCCGAGGAGTCCAGACAAGGGTACAGGATTCCCTTGATACTGGAAATTAGACAGTTGTGAGCCACCATGTAGGCGCTGGGAATTTAACCTGAGTCTTCTGGAAGAGCAATCAGTACTCTTAACCTATGAGCCGTCTCTTGTGGAATTTTCCTTCACACTGTGTGAATATATGTCACTGTGATTGGTTCAATAAAGAAGCTGACGGCCAATAGCTGGACAGGATAGGGTTAGGCAGGAGATGCAGCCTGAGGACAGTAGGAAGAAGGGCAGAGCTGGATGGGGAGGAAACATGATGAGAGATGAAAGAGGCAACACCACGTGGCAGAATGCAGATTACTACAAATGGGTTAATTTAAGTTGCAAAAGCTAGTTAGTAATAAGCCTGAGCTATCGGCTGAGTGCTTATAATTAACACTAAACCTCTGAGTGGTTATTTGAAAGCAGCTATCAGAACAGAGCTGATGGCAGTCCTGATGAAAAACTCAAGTCTGCAATCTCTAGCCCACTTATCAGAAGTCTTTAACAGGGGTATACAAGGAATGAAGCTGTACTGACCCCAACTGGCCCAGATAACACACTATCTATCTACTCTTTCCAGCACTTATGGATATTTATCACATTAGGCTGCTACACTGTATTGCTGTTTTCAGTGTTTATTATTCAACACACACACACACACACACACACACACACATACACACACACACATTATTCTGGGTGAAGGACATGAAGGACTTAAAGTTTGAGCTGAGTGTGGTGGCCCATGCCTTTAATCCCAGCACTTAGGGAGGCAGAGGCAGTTTGGATCTCCCAGGCCAGCCTGGTCTACAGAGTGAGATCCAGGACAGCCAGAGCTACACAATGAGACCGCCTGGAAGTACAAAGCAAACAAACACAAAAGATTAAAGCTATTCTTTAGCTAGAGTGCATGGTCACAGAAGAAGTGCAAACAAACCGAGTGAGTCTGGCAGTCACGTTGCTCTCTAAAGGTAGGAGTGCTGGTGTGAATAAGATGCCCTCACGGGCTCATAGGGAGGGGCACAATTAGGAGATGTGGCCATGTTGGAGTAAGTGTGTCACCAAGGGGAGGGCTTTGAGGTCTCAGAAGCTCAAGCCCCGCCAGTGTGTCGTAGTCTCTTCCTGCTGCCTGCAGATCCAGACCCAGAACTCTCAGGCCCCCTCCAGCACCATGTCTGCCTGCACCAACATACTTCCTACCATGATAATGGACTGTGGACCGTAAGACAGCCCACATCAAACGTTTGCCTTCATGAGAGTCACTGTGGTCACGATGTCACACAGAGTACACAGTAGACTAGCACCCTTGTGTCTTTAAGTGGCCTCAGAGTGTCTGTGAGGTCCTGCCAAAGTTCCAGTCTTTCAGAATGTAAGAGATATTTTCTCCTCTTTTCTTTTTTATTTTGCTTACTTACTTACTTGGGTTTTATTTCATTTTGTTTGTTTGTTTGAGACAGGATTTTTCTGTGTAGCCCAAGCTGTCCTAGAACTCACTCTGAAGACCAGGCTGGCCTCAAACTCGCAGAGATCCGCACACTTTGACCATGACCCCAAGACCCATGACCCCATCTCAGCCCCATCAAGGACATCACCACTCTCTGCAAGGGCTGTTCTCCTGGAATGTTCCTCTGAAACATTTCATGGTCCCACAGCTGGTTCTCTCCACTTGTGAGTCCTGTATGCCCCCCTCTCGGATGAGAGAGGGGTGGTATCACCCCCAGGGGGTCTTACTCCTGTCTCAGGGAGCCTGTCAGGCTTCCTAAGAGGTGGCCTAAATT